TCACTCTCCCTCCTCGCTCGCCAGCTCGCTCTCTCCCTCCTCGCTCGGTCCCTCCTCGTGCTCGCTCTCTCCTTCCTCGCTCGCTCCAACAGAAAAATTCCCACGAGAAATGAAAGTTGAAAAAACATTCCGTACAAAAACAATCCTTCATATTTATAAATTATAATTCCAATGTTCGTCCAATTCTAAAATTTACAGTTTTATTTGATAAATTCCCGTTTAAATATGAGTTTTCCCTTCCAACTATATCTCTATGTTCAAGATGGAATGAAAGTCTGGACGAGTTTATGAAATGTTTAAATTAAACTTTCATTCTATTACAACAAATATCTTCTAATTTAGATTGAATTAACCTGTTTATGACTGAAAGTCCTAACTTAGAATGACAGTCTAATTAAAGTATTTCATGAACTCATCCAGACTTTCATTCCATCTCTAGCTTGCAGTTCAAATAAGAAGGGATAACCCATTCTTGGAAGGAAACTTTTCAAATAAGACGAAAAATTTTAAAATTGGAATGACATTTTTTAAGATGAAATGAAAATTTGAAATTTAGAATGTAATTTTACTATAGAATGATTATTTAATTATGAAAAATTTTTCTGTTGTCGCTCTCTCCTTGCTTGTTCGCTCGCTCCTCGCTCGCTTCCTCCTAGCTCGCTCGCTCCTCGCTCGCTTCCTCCTCGCTCTCACTCGCACGCTAGGGTCATACTCGCTCCCTCGTCGCTCGCTCCTTGATCGCTTGCTCTCTTTCCCGCTCACTCTCACTCGCGCACTTACTCTCGCTCTCGCTCGCTTGCTTTCACTCACACACTTACTCTCGCTCTCGATCGCTTCCTCGCTTGCTCGCTCCTTGCTCGCTTGCTGTCTTCGCCGCTTGCTGGACGCCCGCTTGCTGTCTTTCCCGCTTGCTGGACTCCGAACCCTTCCTCGCTCGCTCGCTCCTTGCTCGCTTGCTCGGCCGGCCATTGAATCGCTTATGAAAAAAAAAAGTTCGGCTCTTTTTCTCGCTCGCTTGGCCTCGAGGCCGTAGGGTCTCTCGGTCGGTTGGTCCATTTAGTCGGCCCGACCATTGGTCGGTCCGTCCGCCCGTTGGGTCCACTCGTCGGTCGGTCGGTCGGGCCTCACCACTCGTTGGGTCCACCCGTCGGTCGGTTGGCCCGGCCATTGGTCGGTCCATCTGCCCTCTCAGGTGGACTCCGGCCAGGATAACTCCGGGTTGAATTGTGAGGTCCCCGGCCTCGTCCGAATGTTTTGCAATAAATGGTTAATACTTTTCAAAAAAAATAAAAAAATAAAATAAAATAGAGAAGTGGCTATCTAATGTACGAGCTGTAGGTAGTAACACTTAGTCCCTGATAGGGCCGCTGTGGGCCGGTAGGAGTGTATCAGTTGGTAGGGACTTAGTGGGAACAGGATACTCGGCCCCTGCTAGGGCCGCTGTGGGCCATTAGGAGAGTGTCAGTAGGACCATAACGTCAGTCCTCTGGGCCGAGTTAGTCCCATATTAGTTCTGAGAAGGTCTCTCACTAAGTTATTATACCATTTGATATGAGAAGTCTCACTGTAGTATTGTAATCTGAGGTCGTGGGGCATGCGTTGCAGTAGTAACAGTTATCAAGTTGCTTGAAGTTCAGGCTCAGACTCAATTACTGGGTTGGTCGCTTTGAAAGGCATAGTTAGTTCATTTGTTATACTCTGCATTTGCAAGAGCATCCGCATGTCTCCTACCTGTAAGC